ATGTAGTGGCTGAAAATTACAATTAGAGTAGGCTGACTGAATCAGTGAGGATTTAGTGAGTCAGCTCCTCCATAAGTCCCAGCATTTCAACGGGCCTACTCTAATTGCAACTTAGTATTGGATTTCAACCAGTGCACGCATCAAGCACAAAAGAAAGTCCATCAACTGGAAAGAAGTAAAATGTGCACCAAACATCAAGTCCACTATCTACATTGTAGTTTTTACTTGAAAGCTCCAGTTTGTTCCATGAAGCTTACCATAGCTATCTTTCTAGGAGAAGAGTTCCTTGGACTTGAATGGTATACAAGTTAAGCTAACAGCAATGTGATAAATACAAAATGGACAATATTTTGCATTTTTTGGACTAAAAGTGTACATATTTGTACTTTTGGACTGTAACTCACAGAATTCTTCAGGCAACATAACTGCCTGGGGAATTCTGAGAACTGCAAGTCCCAAAGACAGAAATCTGAACACCTCTGATTTGGATTATCTTAAATCAGATTTATGGAGCTACATTTTCAATTGCTACATTGCAGAACAATTAACTTGAACTTACTCAATGGTACAATGATAAAATCCCGAATCTTCTATGTATGTAGGGATAAACCAAAGCAATTCTCCTCGTTGATGGATCCTAGAGAAGTTATCTTTAGTTATAGGTATATCACTACCGTTTCCATACCAAGTAATACTGTAGTTGGATTGTAAAGAAGGTAATAGTCTTAGTGGACAGCGAATGGCCCAAGGCTCTCCTACAGGCACAAAGGTGGGAAAGTTTATACCTAATAAATAAATAAAATGGATATAATGTTTATATAACTACAGTAGTTTTATCACTGTAACAACTGATGTAGTACATATACTGGAATCAATACACTGGCAAAATGTTTGCACACAATAATGGTAAATGCTGGTTTGAAAAATAATGTGTTTTAGGTATTCAGTTGCATGCAGATTTGTTTGCCCTCAAGACTGCATACTTAAGTACTGGCATTCTCTAAAGCAGTGGTTCCCAACCTCTGGTTCCCAGATGTTCTTGAAAAAAAAACTCTCAGAAGCCATCACTGCTAGCTAGCAGTGAAGAATTCTACGAGTTGTAGTCCAATAACATCTGAGGACTCAAGGTTGGGAACCACTAATCTAAAGTAATAAGAAGAAGAAGTAGAGAAAAATATCCTTGTCAGTGAACATTCATTTCAAGCTCTCCCATCATCCTCTATTGCTTCTAGCCTAATTTCTGAAAACATCTCTCCTTTGATTCTGCAATTAGTTTGCTCAAAATTTGAAATTATTTAGCTAGTCATATTAAATCATCCCACTTAAAGCACAAAGGGATTAGAAAGCAAAAATGTCTTGCCCAAACATTGTTCCATGGTTCAGATTGTATCCTTGCCGAAGCATCTGAGCCCTCTCTCCCTGTCTCACATCATTTCCTGTAACAGGATATATCTTGATGGAGGTCTTTTGGGAGAGGCTTCCTCCCCCTTGCTCAGAGCACAGGGAGATCAACCTGAAGCCCAAAGAGGGCGGTGTTAACATCTGGCATCTACTACATTCCCAGTGGAGGAACAGAGTAATAAGACACAAAGCAAAATATTATGGACTGTGGAGTATTCCATTTTTCATACTCTGCAGCATATACAGTTTGAAACCACAGAGAAGGAAGTGAAGGAAAATGTAGAAAGGGTTCCAAATAAGAACTTAAACAGTTCATTTTTATCAGCCTTCTAGGACTTGCAATAAAAAGTAACTTTTTCAAGCTCTGTTCCCACTACAGAACTTGGGAATAAACAAGGTTCTCCCACTTTCAGAAGTGGTTCAGCCTGCTGAATTCAATGCCAACCTTAACCAGAAGAGGGAGTGTCCCCACCAACACCTGCATCCATAACTCACTGCTGAAGTTTATAAACCTCATTAAAAGGTGTAAAGGAATTTGATGCTTAAATTTGACTTCCTTGCTTTAAAAAAAAAGCTCAAGAAGCCAGTTTTTTCTTCCATTTGATAACACAACACAGGCACAGATACTGATTTGTAAGGCAATCATCTTATAAGTGGTCTACAGATTATAGTTATCTGCTTCAGCGAACTAAAGCAAACATTTTTAAAAAGTCTTCCTGTAACACTTATGTACATATCTGATGGAAGAACTATGAAATAAACTGTAGTTCAACCCCACTGTTTTGAAATGAAACTATACGTGAAAGAAACAATGTAATTATCTCCTCTTAAAGCAGCTCGTCCATTTTCAGGAATGTTACGGCTCATTAGACAAGGCATTTGTTCTGTAAAATGTATCTGATTGGTCTCTACAGGTTCTTTTTTTTTAATTCCTACTATCCAAAAGACAGCTTATACCAGGGATGTTGGTAGTTTTTTGGGTCTGAGTCTTTGGTACCAAGTCTGAGTCCCTATTAAAAACAAGTATTTTTCCCCAGGAAAAAAAAAGGGGGAAGGGCGAGTTTCCGAGTCGTGGATCGAGTCCAAGACATGGGGGAGAGAGGGAACAAGTCGTGTTAGTTTTTTGGGTCTGAGTCTTTGGTACCAAGTCTGAGTCGCTATTAAAAACAAGCATTTTTCCCCAGGAAAAAAAAAAGGGAAGGGTGAGTTTCCGAGTCATGGATCGAGTCCAAATCATGGGGGAGAGAGGGAACAAGTCGTGTCCAAATCAAGTCAACGGTGTGACTTAAATCCAACTTGACAGCGAGTCCCATGACTTGAGTCCCCATCCCTGCCTTATACTAACACGAAAAGGAGCTAAGTGGGCTTGGCTATTTTCTGAACCCTTCTCTCCTGCCAGAACTCACTGGGTTTTTGTTGTTGTTCCACTTTTCCAGTCCAAAGCTCATCCTGAAAAACACACTGCTCTTTTTAGAAATGACCTGGCACCTGAATGATATAACAGGGTGGATGGGGTGATTTTGCACTGTGACAATTCTCCAAATTAAAAAAACAGAGTGAAGTAGGAGGCATCAGAGACAGCAACAATGAGAGCCTTATGGAAGAGAGTGGAGGCAAAACAGAAAGCAAGGAACCCAGGAATGTCTGATGTGGATGAATCCATCAGAGGAAAGGAAGCAGAAAGGAAAATAAGGTGCTGGGGAAGCTTAAGTGCTAATCAATCACCCTTGCCACTGGTGGTTGTCTAGGGTAGCAGCTAAGTTCCAAGAAAGGTCTTAAGTGGCAAGGTTGCGGGGACTAGAGATACCAGGGATACTGTACGTCAGTATGCAACCCCCTGAAATGACTGGTGTACTGGAAGTGGAAAATACCTATACAGTGGTGCCTCGCTTAACGGGCACTCTGTTTAGTGACGAAACCGCATAGCGACGAACTATTTGCGATCACAAAAGCGATCACTTTGCAATGTTTCCTATGGGGTTTTTTTGCTTTGTGAAGATCGGTTCCCTGTTTCGCTTACCGATCATCGCAAAGCGATGATTTTTCAACAGCTGATTGGCGGTTCCAAAATGGCCGCCGGGTAAACAAAATGGCTGCCTGCTGTGTTTTCACATGGATTCCTCACTTAAGAGGCAGTGAACACGGCTGCCGTATGGAGGATCTTTGCTTTAAGATCAGTATTTAGCCCATAGGAACGCATTAAACAGGTTTTAATGCATTTCTATGGGCTTTTTAATATCACTTAGCAACAAAATCGCTTAGCAGTAATTTTTGCTGCATGGATTAATGTCGCTAAGCGAGGCACCACTGTAGTTATCAGAACAAATATCCTATCTAGAGGAGCCATTACTTGAAACTTTTCAGAATTTGGAAGCTCATATTTTATCCACACAAATAATTCATTTACTGAAAGAGACTGAATACTGAAAGGGTTAGTATTTTTTAAAGTGTTCTTTACGCAGCCGTCCCCAACCTTTTTGGGACCGCGGACCGGCTGAGAAACGTGGGACGCCCCCTACACTCATGTGCACACAAGGAGCGGGTGCTCTCTCGCACGGGCGTGCAGGTGCTCTCGGATGCATGCATGAAGCGGTGGGGAGTGTGTGTGCGCGCAATCGCTCCGCCACCCCTTTGTGCATGTGCCAGAGCACACACATGCCCACGTGCATGCCCCCACCCCATCACTCAGGCGCATAAGTGAAGGAATGGGGGAACGCTCATGCCGGTGCTGGCATGCGCATAGTATGCAAAGCAGCTGTGGGGGAGAGTGCGTGCAGGGGGAGCAGGAAGTCTGTCTTCGCAGCCCGGTCCAGCTCAGGCCAGGGACCGGCACCAGGCTGCGGACTGGGAGTTGACAACCTCTGCCTTACAGTACTTTGAGGGGGTGGGACTTTTTAAACCTACAGCTGTTCAGAGAACTTTTAAATCCCTATTGCTATATTTAAGGGGGAAACAAAATTAGACATGAAGCAGACAAACCAGCAATTTGTGTGAGTCTGATTAACTGATACAGTGGTGCCTCACTAGACAATGATAATCCATTCCACTAAAATCGCTGTTTAGCAAAATCATTGTATAGCAAAAAGCATTTCCCCATTTGAATGCATTGAAACCTGTTTAATGCATTCCAATGGGGAAGAATCATCGTTGTCTAGCGAAGATCGGCCATAGGAAAGCTGCTTTGCGAACCGCTGATCAGCTGTTTAAATCGCTGTCTTGCGAAGCTTAGGTCCCGAAAACACCCGTTTTGCGAGCGTGGAGGAAGCTGTCAAAATCGTTGTCTAGCGAAAATTGGTTTCCAAAGCAGGGACCAAACACTGTCCAGCGAAATTCCCCCATAGGAATCACTGTTTTGCGAATTGCTATAGCGATTGCAAAAAGTCAACGTCTAGTGAAAAAACATGCGTGGTAACTGTCTAGCGAGGCACCACTGTACATGTATTTCTGTAATTGGGAGTGTGACAACATTCACTGTAATGTGGCTAATAGCAGTTCAACAAACTGACAAGTAACAAAGGTGACTTACAAAGACCGAATGAAAAATAAGCAAGAGAGATCCAACAAGGCCGTACCGATGCAAAGATCATCTTCTCCTAAAGGAAGAGAAGAAATGTTTAAATGTTCAAATGTTCTATAATACAGCAAACAAGGTTACCACATCTGTAAAAAGGACAGCACTGCCCATTGAGGCACTGTGACTAATCAGTTAGGGGAAAAATAAAAATGGACTAACCAAAAGCCAAATTCTGTGTTACTATTATACTGCACCTTCATTATGTCAATTTCAAAAATTTAAAAAAAACGTGTGCAAGCTTTTGGGGTCACAATCCAGTCATCAGGCATGGCATTACAAAAGCTGGAAAGAGGGAGAAGGCTAAAGAGAAGGGATATACAAAGTTTTAAAAAAATAAGTCAGATATTAAAGTCACAGTATGTCCCATCCTGTTCCAGTTGTGATAGTTGAAGAAAGAAATAGCAGATACTCTAAGGTAGTTTTCTCAGGTAACAATCTGGGTGTTAAACTGCACCAGGAAGTAGCCACTCATGGCTGACAATAAAGGTCTTCCATTGTTGCCAAATAAAGTCCAGCCTTAAATAAATTCCAGCTGTGGAGTTAAAATGTTGCAGGAGGTAGCAGGGATGGTGGCAAATCTTTGGGTCCAAGACCCAAGTCTTTGGTACCAAGTCCCAAGTCCCTATTAAAAATAAGCCTTTTCACCAGAAAAAAAGAGAGGAGGTGGGCGGGTTCTGAGTCACGAGTTGAGTCAAAGTCATTGGAAAAGAAAACTCGAATCAAGTCCAACTTGAGTCACCCGTGCGACTTAAATCCAACTTGACAGCAAGTCCCACGACTTGAGTCCCCATCTCTGGTAGATAGGGGGAAGAAATCAATAAGTCAAACTGAGTCGTATTACCTAGCAATTCAAGCTCAGGCTTCCAGTAGCCTGTAACCTTCCTCTTCATCCTTGCTGCTGGATACCTAGATTTGGTATCCCTCAATCAGTAGGGATCAGAGGCAGACTTGTTGACCGATAAACAAAGCTATAATTCCAATTTACATATCAGGATTATATATTTATTAAATCAACTTTTTAAAAAAGGGAAAAGCACTAAATTGTGTGCAACCTTTTAGGATCACAACTCCCTCATCAGGCTTCGCAAGACTTTTTTTTCCCCCGAGACCTATGCCTCGCAAGATGAATAAATTTCATTCATCTTGCCAGGTTCCCATAGGGAACCTCACAAAATGATTTTTTCGCAAGACAGTGATTCTCGTGGAACGAATTACATTCATCTTGCGGGGCACCACTGTATTTGGACAGTCTAAGGCAATTAAAGGTCACAGAAGCAGAGCCAAAAGACAAATGTGTGTAGGGTTTTTTTGTTTTTGTCTTTGAAGGGTCAAAAAGAAAAACAGGCCTGCTTTAGAGAAAGTAATGGAGTGACAGTCCTCCAGAAATGGGGACATTCTGCCATGTATCGCCAAAGAATTAACATATAATTTTGTTAAGTATTTCTGCAATACAAAGACACAGAGCAGTTGTGTTTGTCCCAGCCCTGAGTGCTTTCAGTAAACATTCTCTCAGGGTTTTTGTGACCAGGCTCCTGACACAAGTTTTCAAAGGAGAAATCAGCTCCAGGTCTGTGGCAACCTGAACTTTCGACTCAGTCAGGACCCAACAGAATTTTTGACTCCTTCCTGGATAACTGGGATTTGTGCTCACAAATGGATTCTGTGCTGGTTGTAAAAATATTTTAAAAGCTATTTTTAAAATAATAGTGAACAAATATTTAGAAGCTCACTCATTTAAGTTGACTACTCCAAGGACAGCTATCAAGAGGGTCTGCAATATACCCTCTTGTGCTCCCTACCATTCACAAAGAGACACCAAGCAAGGGAAAATCACAGAAGCAGACTCCTTTTTTTTCATTAGTTAACCATTTCTCCCCCAAACATGAAGCAAATGTCAGGGCTGGTTTGGACATGGTAATGAATACAAGAAGATGTCCTGTAGACTAGTGGTTCCCATCCTTTTTTCACTTGTGTAACCCTTGGCAGTCCATTTCAATAAACTGTATTCTTCATATTAGCAACATGTTTGTAATTAATATGGTTGCTGTTATTTCAAATTTAAAAGTTGGAGCTGTAAATAAATAGCCCGATAATGAGATTAAAAAGCAATTATCATCTGATAATTCACAAACTGAAAAATTCATTTAAAATTTCAAATGATGACAAAGAGACATAGAGAAGATCTGGAAGAACTCACTCATTGAACACTGCTCACAGGATTGAGTGAGGTACCTGCTTATATAGTAACCAGTGCTACAGCACTCTAATGTTCATGAAGTGGAGGAGAGTGAAAGTTGAGCCTGTTTGGAACAGGTTGGGAATGGGATTCATGCTGCCATGGCATGTTTGCAACACATAGTTTAGGGAAGGACTCCCCACCGTCCACCAGAATAACAAAGTGAGGGGATAGGGTTTTTCTTGAAGTTAAATTACAAACCTGCTGCACCACTCCTCATAATGTTCAATTAATTTCACAACTTTTTTATTGTGTCTTGTCTTATACTGTTAAGGTATGCGGCTTTTGCTGCCATTTTTTTTTCACATATCCTGAAACGTCCTGGTTCGTACCCCTGGGGGTACATGTACCCAAGGTTGGGATTCACTGCTGTAAACCATTTCATCTGCTCCAATCTATTGGTGATCTTAATATTCAGGCTACCCTTTGCAATGTAAAGCCTGGCACCCCTTTTTCCTGCTGGCAATGTGGGCACAATATTGTCCAGCAATATTGGACCATTTCTGGATACAGAAGCACAATATTCCACATTCATAAAACAGAAAGTTGTTGTTGTTTTGAAGGACTGAATGCTTGAATAAGGTTCTCTTCAGAATCAATATTAATGGAAACACCAGGACAAAAAATAGTTAAATGTGTGGAATACTGTAAATCCTTTTGATCAAAACTACAAGAAACAAAAATTTTAAAAAATATAATTTTTCTGTGTATTAATGATTGGATTCCACGATCACAAGGCATGCATGTCCTGTTTGTGGCCTTCCTGTAGGCAACTAGCTAATCGCTCTCTAAAGATTTTTAGTTGGGAGAAGAGGAACTGGATGCCCCACCAAACATGGCAAAATAGTCTCCCAAGGGCATATAAGGAGTTTGCAAGCCATTTTCTTTAAACAAACAAACATACAAACATAGACTTTTCTATTTTATTTTTACGTTCCAGAGGTTACCAAAGGAGAAAAAGTTATAATAACAGCCAAATTCAAATACCCTCACATTGGCTGGGTAAAATAGGCTCATGCTATGGAAAAGATACAGTATGTACTTAGCAGTTAGTCTCAAAGTCAAGTAGTGGGCGAAGCACCAGTAAGTTGTCACTTCCAAAGGCTGGAAAGAGACACAAGTGTTGCCAAACCAGGTAGGAATACTGACCAACATGGGAGCAACATTTTTGTAAATGCAAACTCGCCTAGAATGTCTAGTGTAAACACACTGAAGTAGTTCAACAGGGCAAGTGTCACAAAGGAAAGTGGCTAATTAGTTATTATAAGGAAATTGAGAGTCAGGAAGGGGCAGTTATTTCAGGATTCTTGAAAGTTATTTAAAACCACAGTAATATAAGTTCAAGCAGAATACACTCTAAATACCAAAAATGAATCCAAAAGAGTGCCAAACAGTTAAACAGACTAGTTTAGAAGGGTGAAAAGGGTCATGGCAATGTGGAACTCTTTTCTGGATATGAATAAAAAAAATGAAATGACCTTTAACAAATGTAAGTTGACCACAAAAAATTAATGAAAAAGTTTAAAGGATATATTAATAAAGATCTAAATACAAATTGCTTCAAATATGCCATATGGAAGAAGACAAGTGATCAGGACATTAGACAACATACAGCAGGAGCACTGGTAATTTCAAGAAAACCTCAGTGAGGGTTGTTTGTTTGGTGTCTGACTTCCCTGTAAGAAAAGTTAAAGAGAAACATTCCTGAACCATCAAACAAACAAACAAACAAACAAACCTGACTTCCCTGTAAGAAAAGTTGAAGAGAAACATTCCTGAATCACTTTCTCAAGGAAGGGCATTCAAAGATCTTCAACCCCAAATAAGGAAAATGCTTTAAAACAAATATTAACTTTTAAAAAACTTCAAAAAGAAACAATCAAAGCTAGAACTAACCAGCACTGATCGTATCTTTTTCATTACTATGCTCCACTGATGTTGTTTTCTGACACTGTAGACCACCTAAAATCCAATAAATATAAGTACAGAATGTATAAAAAAATTAATATAAAACGTGCAAAACCTTCTGCAACTGACTTCTCTATGTAATTACAACAAAGTCCAAAATGACTGGTGCAAAGTGATCCCTAAAAGCTGATGGTCAGATGGAATTCCCTTTGGGTTTTATTTTGCAGACAGGAATTCTTTTTTGAAAAGGCACTGAAAGGTAGAGTTGCAACAGCCTACATATCTAAACCGTGTTTTTCCAAACCTAGCTCTACAAAGCAGAAATGGAAATCTTGAAGTTTTAGTCTTCAGGCTGTGAGAGCAAGAAGAGTTGTGACGGTTGTCTTCAGCCTCAAAGCCCCAAGGCTAAAAAAATAGGAATGGACTGTTGAAGCTGACGTCCTGACTATCAGTATTTCCAAATATCTTATTTCCCAATAAGTCCTAGAATGCAGTTTACCTTTTTCACATTTGTATTTGAAAATTTATGTAACTATGTGTTTTTATCAATTGTTTATATTATACTGGAAGCCGCTCAGAGTGGTTGGATAGACCAAAGGGGCGGGATACAAATCAAATAAATAAAAATAAAACAATAAAAATAAAAATACCTTTTCAGATTAACAATTTGCGATATGAAATATAATTAAAAATAATTATCTTAACTAGCCCCGAGGGTTAATAGTTCTGGCTTGGTTTAGTTCTAAGTTGATTTGTTCATAGTGTTTATTATCTTTGTTGGGGATTTTTTACTGTTTGGAAATTAATAAAAATTATATTTTAAAAAATAACAATTTACAGTTCCTCTTCTGAAATTCACAAAGCAACTTTATGTACCTCCTAGCATCTATCCAACTCACTGTAAGATGTTCCTTATTCAGCTACACCATCTGCCCAATGGAATATATGGTTTCCTCTTCTTCTAATAATAATTGCATCCTGTCAAGTCAACTCTGATTTATGGTGACCTTTTCCAGGGTTTTCTAGGTAAAGAACACTCAGAAGTGGTTAACCATTCCCTGCTTCTGGGGGAGGGGGCATCCTGGAACTGTGCAGTTTGCCCAAGGCCACACAGGCTGGCTCTTCCCTTAGGAAGCACAGTGGGGAATTGAACTCCCAACTTCTGGCTCTGTAGCCAGGTACCTAAACCACTGACCTATCCAGCCAGCTCTCTCCCCAAACATATACAGTACATTGATATCGTACATTGTAACCATCTAGTTTTCTTCCTTTATTTTTACCAATTCTTTGACCTTTACATAAGTTCAGTAGCTATATCTTTTTTTTTTTTAAAGTCATTTTTCTTTCCCTTTTAATGAATTATCCCTTGCAAGCTATGCTCACTTTTGGCTAAAAAGGAAAGTTCAAAAACCCTTCTAATGGCTCCCCCCGTCCCATGCTGTTTACCTTACACTGTGTACTCAATGTTCCTGCTGAAATTAAAGTTTACAGGAATCTTCATTTCAAAAGTTCACTGGCTCTGAGGAAAGCATTCCTGAACTTTGAGTTTGGACGTTCTTTTTTGACTCTCAGGAATGCATTAGCCCTCAATGGGAAAGCCATCAATGCAAGCACCATTTCAGTCATCAAGCCCAGCAGCATCCTTCAGAGCAATCAACTCACTGAACATTAGTCACTCTAACCACTTCACTTAAATTGGCTGAAACCACACATGAAGTGGACCAATGCACACAGAAGCCCATAATGCATTACATGGCACAAAGCAAGGTTAGAATTCTATGCATACCTGTTCCATCCAACATAAGCAGACACATCAGATCCAGAGAAGAGTAACACTCCCTGCCCTTTCATGAACACAACAGGCCCATACACACAAATTCAATGACCACTAAAATGAGTGGGCTAAATCTAATTTCAGTCTCAGCTGGAGTAGACCCAAGGAAATGACTGCGACAGGTTAGTTAACACTACTATCATCCCATTCCCATTCATTCCAAGTGGTCTAGTCCACAATATACTAGATCACTAGAAAGTTATCTGATACACAAACTTCTACAAGAAAGGAACTCAAAACAAACCACACTTTCATCACCACAGAGGTAAACATTTCAGCTGAGGATGACAACTAGTAGAGTAAGCCAGTAAGTTTCACTACTACAGTAAAAATTCAAAACTGAGTTATCAATACAATGACATTTGGATTTCAGTTTGGTGGTGAATATTTGCTGCACATGTTAGTTCTTCTGATAGCTCCTGCTTACTACCCTGTTTCCCCAGAAATAAGACCTAACCTGAGAATAAGCCCTAGTATGATTTTTTTGGATGCTCGTCATATAAGCCCTACCCCAAAAATAATCCCTAGTTCAGTGAAACCCTGCCCTCCACCATTGTGCAGCAAACAGAAGATTTCCTTTTTGACATGGGAAAGGTTAAATTTTGATTGGCACTTATCAGTATGGCAAAATATATCAATAACACTACACATAGATAGTATATATCTACTTGTCCTTCAAATCTTTCTTTCTCTCCTTATTTCTTGAACTCACACCTATATGTATTTTACAGCTAGAATAGCTCATAGTGCAGTTTTGTGCTAATAAGTTATTTCTTTATTTTTTAAGACAAGATATATAGTAGATAGCTCAATGGTTTAAGTATCTGGCTGTGGAGCTAAAGGTTGGGAGTTCAATTCCCCACTATGCCTTGTTGACAGGGGCTGGACTTGATGATCCATAGGGTCCCTTCCAGCTCTGTAGTTCTAAGCTGATGAAGAAGAACAGTGTCAACAATAAGGAGTCAAGAAATAAGTAAACTAAGAAAAAGAAGTGGCTTACTTTGAATTTCTTTCTTAATACTGGTCTTATGGACATTTAGACATATACAACAAAATCAACAATATATATGTGCATACTACATAAAGATTTCAAGACGGCAAATAGCAAGTAGATCTAACTCTCTGAAGCCATGAAAGAGCAGAAGACCATGCAGAACTGATATCAGGCACCAAAGAAAATAGGGAAATGGGAAGATTATTAACAGCGCACGTGCACTTAACAAAGAGTGAGAGGGAATTAAACTTGTTAAATGATAAACTCTTCTTGAAAATTTCTAACTTTTAAATGCTGTGTCAAATGTACTTGCTTTTAGTTTCCCCACAAGAAGAAGAAAAACAGGTGAAATCCACTGTTGCTTTTCTGCTCATATTGGAAGAGTCCTTAAAGACAAGGTAGTGGGTGGGAAGAACTGAGAGCTTACAGATCTTTCAAAAGTTAGTTTTGGACTACAACTCCCGAAATCCCCCTGAAGGATGGCCCTGGGACATTCCGAGTTGTAGTCCAAAAAGTAGTCTCCATGACGGGTTCGAGCTTGCACTGATTTATTAATATGGAACCGTTCCTTCTTTAAAACACAATTTGAGAGAGGGAAAGGGAAAGAGCAAATAGAACGATCTAGACTAGTGGGTCCCCCACCTTGGGTAACCCAGGTGTTCTTGGACTGCAGCTCCCAGAAGTCTTCACCACCAACTATGCTGGCCGGGGTTTCTGGGTGTTGCAGTCCAAGAACACCTGGGTTACCCAAAGCGGGGGACCCACTGGTCTAAACTAAAGAGGAGTAGGGAGTGCTGAAGGCTGCTCACAGTCCCCTTCGGCGTCCGCTTCGTCCCTCTCGCTCGCTCGCGCCTCCCAGTCTCGAACCGAGGAGAGGCAGCGCCGGGTCCAGAGGCTGTGACTCAACCAATGCCGGGAACGACCGTGCCCAAATTCTTTCCCCGCGAGCCCGGCGCTCTCCCCTTGCGACGGGGAACGGCCGAACCCCTACATGGCCCTCGCCCGGGCCAGCCGGCGCTCCCCGGTGCTTTGGCGGCTCACCCAGCGCGTGTCCCACGCCTCCGCCTTCTTCTCCTCCTCCTACCTCGACCAGCACCCCCGGCGGCGACTTTCTCCCAACTCGCTGCAGGCGAAACGCGGCGAGGAAAAACACCCACGCCTCCAAACTCCGCCCTCCCGCCCAGTTTGGAGGAGGCCGCGACGAGCGCGCCCCGAACGGGGAAAGGGGGGTGTTTGTCTCCGCCGCCAGGAGCCGTTTGGGCTGGGTAGAGGTGGCGGTGAGGACGCGCTTTCTTTGCTTCAGA